GTGGCTGGTGCCTTAGCCGGTTGAGCTATAGTCGCCGAGCCTAGGCTGTGGTTTTTTAATTAACTTGTACAACCTAACTATGAGTAGTTTAATTTTCATTAGGTTTTCTGAATCATTAAGAGTCATATCATTCATGTATTGAACCTAGTTAATTCAATCATATGTAAAAAGTCCAAAGACAGATTGGGGCAGTGTAGGATACAACCAGCTGACCTGATTATCAGCTCTAGTGTAAAAGACTAAAAGAGAGAGAAATCTGTTATTTACTCTTATCCCAGATACAGTCAAAGGGAAAATACAAAGAAAAAAAGAATTCATCTTTTTCATCTTTATTTCAATTTTTGCAATCTTAAGTACCAATGCCCTTGAGGTTTTTCTAAAGGATTTCTAAGATTGGTGTAGTTCCTGTATTGAAAGGTAGATCCCTACACTGGGGAAACCAATGATCTAAATTTCTTTTTGAGACAGAGTCTTACTCTGTGGCCCTGGCTAGAGTACTGGGGCATCATTGTAGCTCACAGCAACCTCAAACATTTTCTGTTTTTAGTAGAGTTGGGGTCTTACTCTTGCTCAGGCTGTCTCAAACTCCTGAGCTCAAGCAATCTACCTGCTTCAACATCCCATTATAGATGTGAGCAACTGTACCTGGCCTCAGTGACCTATTTCTATACTAAAACTAGTTGGCATCTTCTATGAATAGAAAAACCTAAAAGATAATTTTTTTCTGCCAAATTAAACTTTCCACAACAAAAGAGTGAATTTAACTCTCTGCAGGACACACTGCAAAGCATAGCATACTGCAAAACATTAAGACACCTAACACAAAGACATGAACTCAAAATTTTAAATGGTAATTGTCTTCCAATGTACAACTCTCTCCATTATACCATTCCCTCAAATATATTTAACTGTTTGTTTATAATGTACTTACTCACTGGCTTAATTTATTTTTTGACTACCTCTGTCACCATCAACTATCACCCCTATTATTTTAAAGTACATGTGTTACAGGGCAGGAACTGTCAAAGTTTCTCATATAATAATTATACCAGGTAACACATAGTTAACATGCTGTAAGCTTAGGTTAAATGAAAGAACGCTTTTAACAATGTCAAGGTGAGACCCTTCCAAGGCAAATCCAATCTAAAACTTGTAAAAGTACTAAATGATTTTATAGACAAAGAATTTCTGAGGTAGAAGAAATGTGACAGGGGAATAAATACCTGTTGGAACTTATATAAATCATTGTATTTTTCGTGGAAGTCCAAGTTCAAAAGTTCCTTCTGAAGTTCTTCCAAGAAGTCTTGGTTTTGAATGAAGTTTGGGATCACACAGTGAAGAAAGGGGTCCATTTCCATGACAATGGCTTCTGTTGGAAGGAAAACATTATGTATAGCTTTTCCCCCTTTTTATTTTGACCCCCTCCCCAAGCACACAGCAGAAAAAATATAAAAGGAGTTGGTTATGAATTTGGGGGAATCTAATTTACTTAAAGTTGAAAATCTGGGGGATGATTTATAAGCTCTGCCCTTTTTTCTTTACTCACTCAGTGTTACTTTTTAAAAATACTGGGCTTGGCCTGGCACCTGTAGCTCAGTGGCTAGGGCGCCAGCGACATACACCAGAGTTGGCAGGTTCAGATACAGCCCAGGCCCGCCAAACAACAATGACAACAACCAAAAAATAGCCGGGCATTGTGGTGGGCACCTGTAGTCCCAGCTACTTGGGAGGCTGAGGCAAGAGAATTGCTTAAGTCCAAGAGTTTGAGGTTGCTATGAGCTGTGATGCCATAGCACTCTACCGAGGGCGACATACTAAGACTCTGTCTCAAAAGAAGAAAAAAGAATACTGTGCTTAAAGTACTAATCCTTAAAATGTGTAGAGGTGATGTTACTAAACCAGGGTTCCTACTTTTTTGTGGAGTTTCAATGATTATTTATTGAATTGAATGTATTTAAAATTTTTACTTAATTTCCCCCAAACTTACAGTACAAAATTAAATGGGAGTTGCAATACTGGATGGTAATTTCTCTTCAATCCTGGCTTTTCTTTTCCCAAATTACTGTTAGAGGAATTTACTATATACCATAATCTGCTTTAAAAAGAAAAATCAATTCAGGGCCAGGCTCAGTGGCTCACACCTGTAATTCTAGCATTTGGGGGGGCCGAGGTGGGTAGATTGAGCTCACAGGTTTGAGACCAGCCTGAGCCAGAGCAAGACTTCACCCCCCCCAAACAGCCTGGCATTGTGGCGGACACCTATAGTCCCAGCTACTTGGAAGGCTGAGGTAAAAGGATATCTTGAACCTAAGAGTTTGAGGCTGCAGTGAGCTAAGATGCCATGGCACTCTCTACCAAGGGTGACCAAACGAGACTCTGTCTCCAAAAAAATAAATAAAAAAAATAAAAAATCAATTCAGGTATAACCTCCTCCCATTTCTTGATTTCTACTGCAAAGTTTTACCCACTGCCTTTGGTAGGCTAGATTACCACCCTTATTATTAGCTACCACCTAGTAGGTGCCAGGCCCTTTGGTGCTTTACAGGCATCATCTCATTTAATCTCCTCAGCAACTCTAAGGTAGACAATATCACTATACCCATCCTACAGATGAAGACACTGAGAAGTCTCAGAGAGCACAAAGCTTACACTTTAAAAATTAAACTATCACTTTATATATGTATCAAGCACAACCAGGACTCACCTCTTCAAAACACTTCACAATTAAAACAAAACTCTGGGCATATGTTAGAAGGGAATGTATGACCCATAATCCTATAATGTGATTATTTGAAGCTGAAGCTGAAATTGTTCCATGCAGGCTCCTTCCCTTGGTCGAGAGACGTTTATTTTCATAAGTCATTTAGTCACACTACAGGCATGTAAAAAATGAGTAAATTTAGACAGCTTGGCAGCTCACAAGAAATGCTCTGGCTAGACTATCAAGGGACAACCGAGCATTACCCTTATAGGTACAGTAGAACCTCCACAGTTGACCACTTCCCTATGTTGACCAGCTCCTTAAGTTGACCTAATTTTCACAGACTGGACATGTACCACGTGTATGTTATCAGTAAAGCAGGCCTAGTTCCTTACGCTGACCACCTCCGTACATCGTCCAGTTTGTTACAGTTCCTTGGCTGTTCAAATTACAGAGGTTCTACTGTATTTGTCCAAATGTTTACTGGTCCTTACTCAGGGAAACATTTATTGATGCCAACAGACATGAACTTATTAATCCCATTCAACATCTTTCCTAGGTAAATAGTAAATACTACTGACTATCCCATCTTATGTACGAAGGAACTGAAGTTTAAAGAAATTAAACCATTGCCCAATAACGCAAAATCAGTGGAGCGGATTCTAACTCACTAATCTGTGACTCCTGAATTCACCTATCGACTCCTATGCCTTCTACTTCCCGAAACTCTTCGGCCTATGTTTCTTCCTCTTCTCAGGTTTCTAAACTCAACCTGAATTTGAAATGAAAGAGAGCAGAAGCCGCGCCAGAGGGTCAGAGGTGGACAAAGTCCTCGAAAAGCCCCTTCTCCCCGGCCCCGCTGCCCAGGGCTCGGCTCTGGTCCCAGGACCTCTATGGAAGCCCCAGACCCCTGCGCGGCGGCTCCACCCTCACAGCGCCCGGTTACCGTGACTGAACGGCGTCCTTCGGCTCCAGGCCTCTGCCACCTCCTTTTTTAAGGTTTCCTTCGTGACAGCGTCCGAAAACTCCGCTATCACCCCCTTCTTTCCCTTTTTTCCCGCCCGGGCCGGGCCGGGCTCAGCTGGCCGTTTCCCATTCATCTAATAAAGTATAGAACCACGCCACACTGTTCAAGAAACCACTTTCCTGCGAAGACTACAATTCCCGGAATGCCCCTTTCCCCAAGTTCCCCAGTGTTACCCAATGGAAAGTATCAAAGTGAGAGGAGGCGGGACTTCTGCCTGGCTTACCAATAGAAGCTCCAGATATTGCAGCCATCTGCGTTTGGTCTGGCAGGGGCGCCGCCTCCCTACTTCCTGCCGCCAGAGGCTGCGGACGCACTTCCGGCGTGCGTACGCCTCCTCTTGCGCTCTCCTGTTAATGGCGGGCGGCGGCTGCTAACAGGGTCGCAGATAACCGCTGCCCTCACGGGTAAAGTCTGCCCTGCTTCCTACTATCTGCTCGCCGCCAGTGCCCGAGGTCCCCAGCATGTCTGTGGTACCGCCCAATCGCTCGCAGACCGGCTGGCCCCGGGGGGTCAATCAGTTTGGCAACAAGTACATCCAGCAGACCAAGCCCCTCACCCTGGAGCGCACCATCAACCTGTAAGTGCGGCGCGTCCCTCGCCCGCGTTTTCGCCTGCATCCCTCTATTCGTAAGCTAAAGAGTCTAATTTTTCCAGCTCCACGCCTCCTCCCCACCCCCGCTCCGGCTCGCGGATGCGCACCTTCCTTGCTCCCGCGGGCTCTTTTCTCGTTCTCCAACCCTGAGGCATTAGAGCCCTACGTGAACGTGTTAGATTCCTTTAGAGGACCTGTTCCCGTTCTCTTGTCATTCTTTAGTCATTATGGGTAAAATCGAAGTTTGCTTTGAACTTGATTTTTTTTCCCCCGCCTCTCCAGAGATAACCAATTTCAAAATGTGGTTTTTATCCTTCCATTTCAGTGCTTACGCTTTCACATCACATATGTGGTATTGCTTTGTGTGTTTTTATTCGATACGACTGTTACAATGTAGTGTCATTTTTGCAGTTTTTACTTCTAACAGCTTTCAAGATCTAATTCTATAATGCGTAGGTATTCTTTTTTACCTTTCAAGTGCTATAAATACCTCACGTTTTATTAATCTGCCCAGGGCTATCTGTCCTGCCTGATGCATTCACCTGTCTTCTCTGCAGCAGCTAAGGCATCCCAGGCACCAGTAGGCCCCACCTTGAGAGTGTAGATGCTGTTATGGCTGCGCTTTCGGGCGGGAGGGAACCAGGCTGTTGACCCGGAGGACCTACTGTGGGTTGTTTTATTTTTCGACACCTTTAGTTTAAGTACTTAAGATCCATTGCATTTCAAAGGTACGTTCAGAAATCATATTCGCTGTAGCAGACAGTTGGCGTTCGGGGTGTGTCTTGCTCAAGAAGTTGTGTGCTTTTTTATCACAGCTGAGAGCGTTTTTTGAAACAGTGTGATGCTCAGCCTGATGGAGGAAAGTGGCTACGTGATGCCAGTGTTAGCAAAATGCAGAAATTTGGTGTTTGTTTTACATTCAAATAAATGAACTTTTCTTGCCAGAAAAACTAAACATGATTTGAAATTGTAAAAGTGGTTCTTACCATTGTTTTTATTTTGCAAAACGGGTGCTGGCTTGGAAATTTAGATAATAGGAGTGTTGGGTTTACAAAATATGGGATTAGTTGATAGTTGTTTATATGCAAATTGATTTCTGTAGCTGTTATGTTTACATAGTACCATTTTAATTTTATGTCACTTTTTAAAAAATCCTCATAAGATTCCAGTCAAGTGGAAAAGGCAAATATTTTCCTTTTAAAAAGCTGCTGGAGTACCACCAGCATTGGATTACCACCGGGATTAATTTGCATAGCCATTACGTACAATTAACTTGTTGAAATAGTTATGCTTTTTCAGTAAAATGTTTTAGTATTTGCTGTATTAAAGTTATGGGTTGATATACAGTACATTTCCTAATCTGTATAAATACAGTATTTAGAAATAATCATTGTGTTGTGAACGTCATTTTATCTGAGCAATGATCTATTAAAATTGAAAACAAATCCTCTGTCTCCCAATATATTTTCTTTTAAGAAATTTCATACGAATACCTACATTGTCTCAGGCACTGTGCATAATGATAGGTATACAGTGGTGAGGGGGTAATATGTAGCCCCTGCCTTATGAAGCTTACTGCATGATAATAATGCCTGTGTAGGTCTGGGCTGGCACTCTGATTTCATAGTTGAAATTTCAGATATTACAACTTGACATTTTATTGATTTGGGAGCTGGCTCTTGCAGTAGAGATGTGTTTTGGCTATCCTTAATTCTTTCCAATTCAGGTTGTGAGAACTGAATGTTAATATATGTAATAATAAAATTGCCTTGCATATAGTGCTGTGTGACATAGCGGCTGCTGCTAAAAATGGAACAACATTGAGTCTACTGAGAAAGTTCTTTAAAGCCTTTAAAGCATCTTGGATGGAAATGATGTAGTTGTTTTAGAGCTGCACGTCTTCATTTATGTCTAGAATTTGGCATCTAGAATTTTTAAAGTTTTAGCAATCTTCATTCACCTTTCAAGAATAGCTGTGAATGGATTAAATATATAGTCATTGACTGTTAACACTGAGAGCTTTTGGTAGAAAAGATACCTTGGAGATAGGCAGATGTCGCCAAAGCCTTCTTATAGGCTTGTAAGGTTTAGAATCAAGGGTTTACAATATATACATATATATAAAATAGGATTTTTAATGGTCTTTAAAGAAAAATTTCATCTTTACTGGGCCAGGATAAAAACTGAGACTTCTAACAGTATGAGCCATGTTTTGAATTTTATAAAGGAAAAGAGGATGATCAGATTAGATATGGTGGGTAGAAGATGCAAATGAAGAAAAGGGAAGAATAAGCATACGAAATAAAATTAATGTTGAAGGCTAAAGAGAAGTCTTAGCAGGTTTAGAGCAGGGGAAAAAGAATGTAGATTTGATTTGAAAAGGAAAGAGTTGTGGTGCCAGAAAAATCTTAGGATTGGGAGAAATAGAAAATAACTAGAGGGATGTTGATGGAAAGTAGTGGCTTAGTTTATAGGAGGAAAGATATCGGTCATTGTAGCCATAATCAAATTTTTTGTTTTTTTGAAACAGAGTCTCGTTTTGTCACCTTTGGTAGAGTGTACTGGTGCCATAGCTCACAGCACCCTCAAACTCTTGCCTCAGCCTCCCAAGTAGCTGGGACTACAGGTGCCTGCCATAAAACCCAGCCATTTTGTAGAGATGGGATCTCTTGCTTAGGCTGGTCTCAAACTCTTGAGCTCAGGTGATCCCACCTCTGCTTCCCAAAATGCTAGGATTATAGGAGTGAGCCACCATGTTGCTGGGCCCATAGTCAATAACACTTTGATTGGATTAGTAGTCAAGGGAATCCAAGGGGACATTAGAGGTTGGTAATATTAGAATAGCAGACATGATCTAAAACCAGAGGGTTACTTATATACAGATAACCACTTCTGTAAGAGTTTAACGCCTTAGTGAAATTAAAGTATGAAGTAGCAGCATCTGATGGAAGCTCTGGTTCTAGAGAACAGAGACCAGGATTGTAATCTCAGCTTTTTCATTAAATAGTTATGTAACTTTGTACAGATCTTTGTTTTTGAGCACAGTATATGTACTTCTTTTGTTTTTTTTTTAACCATGGTTTATTTATGCTATGTGGTTGGTATCTGTCGTGATAAATCATGATCTTCAGTTCTCATGTTAGACATTTGCCTTTGGATTACAGGTACCCTCTTACCAATTATACTTTTGGTACAAAAGAGCCCCTCTATGAGAAGGACAGCTCTGTTGCAGCCAGATTTCAGCGCATGAGGGAGGAATTTGATAAAATTGGAATGAGGAGGACTGTAGAGGGGGTTCTGATTGTACATGAGCACCGTCTACCCCATGTGTTACTGCTACAGCTGGGAACAACTTTCTTCAAATTGTAAGTGTTGTTATAAATTAACAGCAGACAGCTTTTAATAGGATTGCTGTTTATGTAGCTTTGGAATACAGTTTTATTCAACAAACCCTGCTGTCAGTGGAGTCTTGGAAGAAAAAAAAATCATGAGTAATTTTTCTCCAGTGCAATCTCATTTATTTTCCTATCTACAGGCAGTTCCTGAGTTACGAATCAGATTCTGTAGGTTTGTTCTTAAGTTGCATTTGTATGTAAGTCGGAACAGGTACATTTACCTGTTACCTGTAATAGCCTCCTCCTTCCTTCATAAGTGTGAATCATACATCATTTGGATATTTGTGACTTGGGGACTTATCTAATAGCCTTAGTTTGTTAAGTGCCAGTTGCACATAAGTATTTGTTTGTAACTTGGGGGCTGCCTGTAGTGATCTTGCATGTTTCTATGTGTTGTTGATGTTAATAAGTGAGCCCATGGAAAAGATTAGTCCAGGATCAATGTCTGGATGTCGTTGTAGCATTGCTAAGAACAATTGATATTTCTTTCTTAGAATGAATGGTATTTCCTATTCTTAAAAAGACTTATATTTTTATAGATAACAGTTTAGTTTTATCATTAAAGTTCATACATGTCTCAATAAATATTTGGTCTACAAATATTTGACCTACAAATATTTGACCAAATTATACCAAAAAGAAAGGTTTCAACTGCTTACAATTGAAATTCTTGAAAAATGTTCCATTTCTCAGGCCTAAAGAATGAACCTATTTGCCATGTATAATGCACTCGTGTGTATAATGCACATCCATGTTTTTGGCCCAAACTTTCAGGGGAAAAAAACCCTTTCATTTTAATTTTTTAATTCAGATTTTTATTTGTTTATGTTTTGATACTAGTTTTTGCATTGTAAAGGAATTATAGCATTTACTTTTTAACATAATAGCACAAGAAATTTTATGTAACAAATAATTACAAGACATAAGAACGGATATAAGTTATGAGGGATTTACCAATAATTTTTGTAAAAATATTAGATAGATTGCTAACTCCTATCTAAAATATATAAAGAGAGAAGTAGGTTGCTCTTTTATGGCCAAAAATGCTTTTGTTGCACATTCAACAAAATCAGTTACCATATTCCAGGGTATAATTTTGCATGTAGATATCGTTATTGCTTTCTAGAGTTATATTTTTAGTGCATATGCATATATAAAAGTATTAAAATAGGATATGGCTTTAGTACTGCCCATGTATAATGCACATCCTTATTTTTCCCTCAAAAATTTGGACAAAAAGTGCACATTCTGCATGGCAAAATACAGTAATCTGTTGCTCGTTGGGGCGCTTCCAGACTCATCTTTTTTTTCTTTTGGAAACAGAGTTATGCTTTGTTGCCCTTAGTAAGAGTGTTGTGGTGTCACAGCAACTTCAAACTTTTGACTTAAGCAATTCTCTTGCCTCAGCCTCTCGAGTAACTGGGACTGTAGGCATCTGCCACCATGTCCAGCTATTTTTTTAGAGACGAGGTCTCTCTCTGGCTCAGGCTGGTCTCTAACTCAGGCAATCTACCTGCCTTGGTCTCCCAGTGCAAGGACAGACTCCATTATCATCAGAGAGTTTCCAGAGAAGAGATTGGGGTGGACTTGTGGCCAGCAATTATAATTGTGTTTATACTGTGTTGTATATTTTACTTGTTTAAATCTAGTCTGGGGAATTGACACTGAATTCACCTTTCTAGCATATTCTTCCCCTTCCCTTTGACACCTGTTTTGATTCCCTTTTTATATGACACTGAAGTATGTTAATCAGTTACTTGATAGAAATAACAATTACTGTATTCTTCCTGTTATCCTTCAATTGTGTTAAGTTGAAAGCTGAAATTCTTAACCTTTGTACAGACCTGGTGGTGAACTTAACCCAGGAGAAGATGAAGTTGAAGGACTAAAACGCTTAATGACAGAGGTATTTTTCTGTTTAACCAATTTGACAGTTTTATTGCTCATCTGAGTACCATCAACTTAGTAGATTATTCGGCTTTTTATGTCTTCTAAAAAGGATAAGTTTATTTTGAATATTTGAATGTAACTTTAACCCCAGGATGTTAGTACACTGTTTATTTTCTACAAGTTGAACTTAATTTATCTTAACATTTTTAAATTGAAATGTCTAACAGTGGTAGGTAAAAATCATTTATTGAGTACTTACTATGCTGATAGACAGTATTTTTTAAGTGCTTTACATGCAGTAATTTTTTAAAATCACAACAACTCTAGGAAGTAGATATTAAGTTTAAATAACTTGTGTAGTTAGTGTGTCATGGAACTGCTGATTTGAATGAATGTAGGTAGTTTTGTTCTAGAATGGGCATCTATAGAATTTTGATGAACGATCCTGTGTTATGTCTATTTTCATTTTTGCAAATATCTTTGAGACTTTGCTCAAATTATGTTACCTTCTGATATCTGCCTCTGGAGACTTAGGGCCAAATGTATAAATATTAGAAGATTTAGGTTGTAAATTGTGCTTGTTGTTAAATAGTTTTATTTTTTAACATGCAGTCTCCCTTAATTACAAAACTAAAACATGCTCTGCGAAAACATTGGCAAAACTAGAAAAGCAGAGGAGAAACAAAACTGAAATCACCTGTAATTCCACTACCGTTAACCTAATGGTTTCTCCTTGTATTTTTTAAAAATGCACTGTAACTCTTAAATACTGTGCTGTGTCGGGCTTCCATTTACATATGGTAAAATGAAACTGCTTTCTTGTCTTCACTCTTTCAAAACCCCACCAAAAAATATAGTAAGGGGGTATCTTTAAAAAGATCTAAGTTCAGTAGGATTGAAGGAGTTCAGAATGAGGCAGTAGCAAGAAAAAAAAAATTGGAAGCTGTAAAACAGATGGGAAAATTATAACTGACTTAGCGAAAGCCTTAGCAATGTAGGAAGACAAACCAGAATCCAGCATTGGATACCAGAAATGCTGAAAAATTGGAGGTGCTAGGTACTTGTGAAAGTGAGGGCATGCATGAGCTGAAAATTCGACAGGCTCAAATTCTATATAGGATGGATTTATACAGGTTGGATATTGCTTATCCAAAATGCTTGGGGCTAGAAGTGTTTGGATTTTGGAATATTTGCATTATACTTACTGTTTGATTATCCTAAATCCAAAATTCAAAATGCTGCAATGGGCATTGCCTTTGAGCATCATGTTGGTGCTCAAGAAGTTTCAGATTTGGGTTTTTCAGCCTAATGTCCCTAGATTGTCTACCCCTCTAGTTAGGCAAAGATGGGCTAGTGATTGATCTTCTGTAGTGATGGACTCAGAACCCCTAGCAATGAAAAAGTTAGGGGATAAGGAAAGTAAGTGAAAGTTTCCATCCTGCATCCTAAATAATAAGACTTCTCTCTCTCTCTCTCTCTCTCTCTCTTTTTTTTTTTAACGAGGCAAGATCTCACTCTGTTGCCCAGGCTGGAATGCATTTTTATGATCATGGCTCCCTCTGGCCTCAAACTCCTGTGCTCCAGCACTCCTCTTACCTTAGCCTCCTGAGAAGCTGAGACTACAGACATGCTACCCACTCTCTGTTATTTTTAAAATTGAGGTTTTTTTGGGGGTAGAGACAGGGTTTTGCTATGTTACCCAGGCTAGTCTTGAACTCCTGGGCTCAAAAAATTCTACCTTGGCCTCCCAAGATGCTGGGATTATAGGTATTGGCCACTATGCTTGGGTGAGACTCATAGAGTTTTATTAGGCTGACAGAATGTTTCTGCAGAAAATGACCAGTCCCAGAGAGACTATGGATAATGCAATTGGGGAGTTGTCTTGAGTTCATTTAATCTTGCTATAACAGAACACCTGAGGCTGGGTAGTTTATGAAGAAAGCAGTTTTATTTGGCTTATGATTCTGGTGGCTGGAAAGTTCAAGATTGGGCAGCTGCATCTGGTAAAGGCCTTAGCCTTCTTCTATTCATGGCAGAAGGGGAATGAGCTGCCTTGTGTGTAGAGATCATGTGGCAAGAGAGGAAGCCAACTCTTTAACAACCGTGTTCTCTAGGGAGGTTATTGATCAATTTATGAGAGATCTGTTACTGTGATCCAAACACCTCCCCCTAAGCTCCACCTCCCAACACTGCCACATTGGAAATCAAATGTCATTGTGAGTAACAATGACATAGCAGGAGTCTTCCTAAAGAAATAGCATAGCTCTATAGCTCATGTACACAGAAGTGACAATTAAGCATCTTACTGCTCCACCCTTAATTGTGAGCAGATAACCAAGTATCACCAGGCTTTTGGAGAAAGCTTCTTAACATGAAAGAGATCAGAAACAGCAAAAGGAACTCAACAGAACAGAAAGTCAACCATTTACAAAACTATGGTTATTCTTGGTGTAATAAGAGGAAATTTTGTGCCTGTGAAACAAGGTGCCATTATAAAAAGACTTTTTATCCAACAAAAACCTCGTGAGTATTTTTTTTTTTTTTTGAGACAGAGTCTCACTATATTGCCCTTGGTAGAGTGCCGTGGTGTCACAGATCGCAGCAACCTTAAACTCTTGGGCTTAAGTGATTGTCTTGCCTCAGCCTCCCAAGTAGCTGGGACTACAGGCGCCCACCATAATGCCTGGCTATTTTTTTGTTGGCAGTTGTCGTTGTTTAGCTGGCCCGGGCTGGGTTCAAACCCACCAGCCTTGATGCATGTGGCTGGCACTGTAACCACTGTGCAAAGGACGCTGAGCCAAAAAAAAAAATCTCATGAGTATTAAAAAGTATTAAAAAAGTATTAAAGTAATCTCATGAGTATAAAAAGTATTAAAAAATCTCATGAAAAATTAAAAACTCAGTTGATGACTAAAAGATAGTTTTATTTTACCAGAAAGTAGAATGAAAAGATAAGAAAATAGAATGTTGGTGAGAAGAGAGAAAATTAGTGGATTATTCTAGAAGGACTGTTAAACTATAGATAAATAGAAGAAAAATTATTAGCAAAGCATAATTAAGGAAAAGTCTCCAATCCAAAGGGCAAATTTTGAAATTGAAAAGATCTAGGCTCGGCGCCTGTGGCTCAACCGGCTAGGGCGCCAGCCACGTACACCTAAGGTGGCAGGTTCGAATCCCCAGCCCGGACCGCCAAACAACAATGACGGCTGCAACCAAAAGGTAGCCGGGCGTTGTGGCGGGCGCCTGTGGTCCCAGCTACTTGGGAGGCGGAGGCAGGAGACTCGCTTGAGCCCAGGAGTTGGAGGTTGCTGTGAGCTGAAATGCCACGGCACTCTACCCAGGGGGACAGCTTGAGGCCCTGTCTCAAAAAAAAAAAAAAAAAAGAACTACTGGTCTGTTCTCTATGATGAATGTTAAAAAATCTATGCTAAGTCATTATCATTGTGAAATCGGAGGGGGCAGTAAACAGAGATACAGGTTAAATATAAAGCATCTGAATTAGAAATGGCATTAGACTATGCAGAGATAAAGCTAAACAGTCTGGAACATGTCTTTATAATTCTGGGAGAATATGACTTCTGTCATAGAATTTTCTGTCCATGAAACTGTACATCAATTGTTTGGATAAAAAAAATGAAAAAAAATTATGTAGGTAAAGCTATTTCCAGAAACGTGGAGTTTCAAAAAAACCTTTTTTTGTACCTTGTCTCAGAAAGTTACTAGAGGGTGTTCACTACTAAACTAAAAGAGTAAAGTAAGAAAGAAGATGTGTTATTTGCAATGTTAGGATCTAACAACAGAGAGGGTAAGAGAAGCACTTACACTCCAGCTGTGAAGCAGGGCCCAGAGCATCTAATCTAGTACAGGTTACAGTGGCTGATAGCAAACTGTCTTAGAAAAAGAATGAAGTTGACAGAAGAGTTGATGTTAAGTTGAGAAGAAATTTAAGTTCTTATGGAGACTGGGAGTGAATTTGGAAATATCAAAGGAAATAAAACAGTTATTAACTCTAAAGAAAAGAATAATAATATAAGTAAGGAAATGTAATTATAGTTTACTGGTCACTCTGTTGTGCCTGATTTAACCAACTCATATTAAATCAACTGAATCTAACTTAATCAAATATTGATGATAGGAGAGAAATAAAAGAAAAAATATAAATAGGGGTTGTGGTTTTAATATTTAAATTCTTATCCACAGTAGAGTGTGATAATAGGGTTTCTTTTTGGATTTTAAAAATGAAAAGTAATCAAGAAATGGTCATAAAAGAATGTTTTTAAAAATGTAACTTTACATTGGAGAAGCCTGACCCAGGTGGTCACGGTTTACATCAGCAGTAAGTTCAACTGATAGCATATAGCCATGATGGGAAGTGATGAGAATGGCACTTTACCTCTCTAGTTTTCTTCCCAAAAGTCCATAACCTCAGTCTAATGGAGGGACACTGAACAAAATATTTGACTAGTATTCCTCCAAACTGTCACGATCATAAAAAGTAAGGAAAACGTGGGAAACTGTCACAGTCTAGAGGAGCCTTAGAAAGAGTGATGACTGAATGTAATGTGATATCTTAGCTGGAATCCTGGGACTGGAAAAAGACATAAGGTAAAAATTAAAGATACCTGATTTAAAGTATGGACTTGGGTAAATAATTGTGTTACTAGTATTGGTTGATTAGTTGTAACAAATGTGCTTTACTAATGTAAGATGTTAACAGTAGGGGAAAGTGGGTATGGGGTATAGGGGATGTGTCTGTACCAGCTTTGCAAAAAGAATTTTTTTTTTTTTTTTTGAGATAGTCTCACTATGTCGCCCTTGGTAGGGTGCTGTAGTGTCACAGCTCACAGCAACCTTGGGCTTAAGCGATTCTCTTGCCTCAGCTTCCCAAGTAGCTGGGACTACAGGCACCCACCACAATGCCTGGCTATTTTTTTTGTTACTGTTCTCATTGTTGTTTAACAGGCCATGGCCGGGTTCGAACCCACGAGCCCTAGTGTATGTGGCCGGTGTCCTGTTCTAACTACTGAGCTATGGATGCTGAGCCCATCTTTGCAAATTTTTTGTAAATCAAAAACTATTCTAAAATAGTTTATATATAAAAACTCTATACTACATACATGTATACTTTTAAAAATAGAGGTATCGGGAAAAAACAACCAGGAGCTGGAAGTTTGTAGCTTATAAGAATGGGTGAAATAGGACGAAGAACTGTAGCTTCTCATTGTGTATCTTGTAGAATTATTTAAGTTTAATGTTAGTTATACAGATTAATAAAAATGAAAATTGTGAATTTTGAACTTATTTCTATAATTTGGTTGTGTAGGTACCCAAAACCATAGTTAATTCTAGAAAAATATTGTATGCTATTGGTTGATGTAAGTAACTGATTGATCACCTTTGGGTTCCATGAGTAGCAAAGGCATACCAGTGAATTTGTTGGTCCTTTATAGTCACATGTTGAAACTAGACTGCCAATTTTTTTTTAAATTAAATCATAGCCGTGTACATTAATGCAGTCATGGGGTACAGTGTGCTGGTTCTATACGCAATCTGAAATACTTTCATCAAACTGGTCAACATAGCCTTCATACCATTTCCTTAGTTACTGTGTTAAAACATTTATACTCTACAATTAGAAAGATTCACATGTACCCTTGTGAGATGAACCATAGGCATGATCCCACCAATCACCCTCCCTCCACTCCCTCTCCCCTTTAGACTGCCAATTTTAAAGGAATAGTGTATGTCTTGGGTGGAATAACAGAGATAATAAACGAGAGTTCATAGGGTATCTAGATGGAAGGCACATTAGCTATGTGTCTATTAAGAGCATTGCCAAGAATATAGGCAGTTTTCAGGTTACAAAAGAGATAGGTTCTGTAGGTTTGTTCTTAAATTGAATTTGCACATAAGTTGGAACACTACATTTTACCTATTACCTGTAATAGCCTCCATTTATAAGTGCAAGTTGTACATCAGTTGGATATTTGTGACTAGGGGACTTAATATGATAGCCTCTGTTTGCAAGTGTGACATGTACGTAAGTTGGATGTTTGTAACTCAGAGACTATGTTCTCATCACTGAAAAAGGATATACATGAGTGAGTATATTTAGTTGTTCACTGGCTATATTATTTCTTTTTGACAGATACTGGGTCGTCAAGATGGAGTCCTTCAAGACTGGGTCATTGATGACTGCATTGGTAACTGGTGGAGACCAAATTTTGAACCTCCTCAGGTCAGTGTTCAGTTATCCCTGTTGGGTATTTGGGAAGCAGAAAACTGATTTAATTTCAGCCACTTTTGAAAAGATCAAGTAGAATTTTATTTGAAATTTGCTTTTCTTCACTTATTTCTCATTAATTTAGATTACAAAATTAAAACCAAGCACTTTTTATTTTAAAGCAAAATTTCAAACATATAAAAGTAGAGAAAATACTAAAAGTATATGAATCCCATTAGCTGTCATCCACTTTTAACAACTCAAAAACTTATTTCATCATCATCCCTCTCCTTCCAGGCCCCATTCTCCTGCCCCCCCCCCACAGTGAATTATTTTGAAGCAAATCCTAGATACCATTTCAATTATAATTTGTTTGAATTAGGATAGTCTCTTAAATCTCTTTACATCTATAGGTTAATGACTTAGTTTTTTTCCTTATAATTTATTTGTTAATGAAAACAGGCTAAAATCTTTAATATTTCCATTGTTGATTGTATACCCCTGCTATCATTGAAAATATAGCTCTTTCTCCTGTGTGTCTTACAAATTGGCAGTTAGATCTAGGCGTTGGATTTCAGCTCAGCTAATTTAGGGGTATCAGGTAACAAGGCTGGTCATGGTGGTATATTTTATCTGTTGCTAAATTATGAAAATTTAGCAGCTTAAAACAATGGACCTTTATCATCTCAGTTTCTCAGGGTCAGGCATCTGGAGCTGCTCAGCAAGCTGGTTCTGACTTAAGGTCTTTGATGAAACTGTCAGCTGGGACTGAATCATAAGGCTGAACTGGGGCTGAGGATCTGGGCCTAAGCTCACACGTGTTTGCTAGGGCATTTTGACTGAAAACTTCAGTTTTTTTTTCAAGGCTTCAGTTTTTGCTGACCGTTGACCCAAGGGATGGGGAGCCTGTGGCCTGGAGCCACATGTGGCTTCTAGATCCTTGAGTGTAATTTTTTGACTGAGTCCAAGTATTGAATTTTGGATTTGATCGGGGGCCACACTTGGGGATCTGGAGGGCCACATATGGCCTTGAGGCCATAGGTTCTGGCAGACAGCCTTATAACCCAATCTTGGCATTGGCAAACCACCAGTTCTGCTGTGTGCTGTTGAACACAGAAGTCCACCCTGGTACAGTGTGAGAAGGGGCTGTGGGTATCAGGAGACAGGAATCATTGGAATTAATCTTGGAGGCAGTCTATTGTTGGTGGTTCCATTAGGAATTTGATGATAATTTGGTTGTTTCTTTTTATAAACTAAGCTTATTGGTAACAATTTCCTGGATCTAAGACTTCATTGGGATTATGATGCTTATATAAAGAAAAACTTCTCTGAGCAACTCAGATTATCCTGAAGTATATAGTGTGAAAGAATAGTCACTGCTTTTTCTTTAAGTGCCAGTTTTCAGGAGAATGAGTTAATTCCTTAGCATCTACCTAAGTCTTGATTTCCTGAGGTGATTGCAGGAGGCAGAGTGCTGGGAAGGGGACACCACCTGTGGGCACCATTTGGATTAATCATAAGGAATGTCAGGAGCCATCTGGGATGCACCCTGGAAAGCCAGATACTCCTGTCTTTCCTTGGGTGAAGGTTGCATTAACTCCTTGTACTTTCATGTTGAGTCTGAGCACTTATTGAGAGATGTTTCAGGCTTTGGAAAAACTTGGACACAGAAAAGCAGAGGGTGAAACAGTGGCAACAAGCAGGAAATCTTTTCCTTTTCTTTTTACTTCTCTTCTCTTCTCTTTTTTTTCTTTTCTTTCTCTTTCTCTCTCTTTCTTTCTTTCCATTGACTAAGCTGGGTGGCACCTGTGGCTCAAAGGAGTAAGGCGCCAGCCCCATATGCCGGAGGTGGCGGGTTCAGACCCAGCTGTGGCCAAAAACTGCAAAAAAAAAAAAAAAAAAAAATTGACTAAACAGGGAACTTTCTGACACTCTTCAAATCCAGCTGCTCTGAAATCTGAGGTGGGATAAGTTGCCCTGTGGTGTGAGACACGTGTAAAAAACAAACTTTCTAGCTTTTTTGCATAATTGGGTTCCATGACAGGCATTGCATGGAATATCAGCCAAGCAGATCATTCTGTTCTCTTCTGACTCCCTTGTATATCAGAGGGGTAGGAAGATGAGGGGTTTATGGAACCTGGTGCTAGTGTTCACTACCTGACAATTTCCATGAGCACATCTGTGTCTTGACTTTAAGAAAGTACAACTTTGGGCTAGGTGCAATGGCTCATGCCTGTAATTCTAGCACTCTGTGAGGCTCAGGTGGGTAGACTGCTTGAGCTCAAGAGTTCAAGACCAGCCTGATCAAGAGTGAGACCCCATCTACTAAAAAAGGAAAAACTAGCTCGGTGTTGTTGCAAGTACTTTTAGTCCCAGCTATTGGGAGGCTTAGGCAAGAGGATCTCTTGAGCCCCAGGGACTGAGGTTGCTGTGAACTATGATGACACCATGGCACTCTATCCAAGGCAAGAGAGCGAGACTCTGTCTCAAACAAACAAACAAATAAAAAAGTGCAATTTCTTATAGAAATAGTGAAGTTCAAGTTCTTGGTTCAAAGACATATAGAACAATTATTTTAAACTTTTTTTGTTTTCTTGAACATTGCTTGATCTAACTGGAAAATGCTCAGTACTAATCCCAAAAGTTCCTAGGACAGTTCTCTTTGTTCACTGAACGCTGGAGTTGGCTCTTTAGTAAACCTGTTGTGGAGTATTAGTTAAGAGTCAGTGGGCAGGCTCGGCGCCTATAGCTCAACCGGCTAAGGCGCCAGCCACGTACACCTAAGGTGGCGGGTTTGAATCCCCAGCCCGGACCCGCCAAACAACAATGACGGCTGCAACCAAAAAATAGCCGGGCGTTGTGGCGGGAGCCTGTGGTCCCAGCTACTTGGGAGGCAGAGGCAGGAGACTCGCTTGAGCCCAGGAGTTGGAGGTTGCTGTGAGCTGTAATGCCACGGCACTCTACCCAGGGGGACAGCTTGAGGCTCTGTCTCAAAAAAAAAAAAAAAAAAGAGTCAGTGGGCAAAGAATACAACGTTATCTCCCTATCTCAATCTTTTTGTATGAAGAGCAGTTGGCTAGAACATGAAGAACAGGACTGGAGAAGAAGGGCTAAAAAAACAGGAACCATGTAGGCTTGAGTAGAAGAAAATTGATATAATGTCACTTACTTTGGTCATGGTTTGGGAACTTTTGTTGTATGTGAGCCATAGGTTTCTTAGCTGTTGAAGCCACTTCACACATTTTCTTTGCTGCTGCTAATATGTCTATTTTCATGATAGTGCAAGTGACCTCCAAAGCCGGGAACAGTTACCTCAATTCATTGTACTCTAGGGATGGCTCTGATATATAATTATTCTACCTTGAATACTGGTTAGGTGCCAATGAGTAACATAGTGTGAAATAACAGGTTTTCATGAATTCATAGGCAAAAGGTTCCGTGGCTTGGCACCTGTAGCACAGTGGTTATGGCACCAGCCACGTACACCAAAGTTGGTGGGTTCGAACACAGCCCAGGGCCAGCTAACCAACAATGACAACTGCAACAAAAAAATAGCTGGGTGTTGTGGTGGGTGCCTGTAGTCCCAGCTGCTGGGAGGCTGAGGCTAGAGAATGCTTGAGCCCAAGAGTTTAAGGTTGCTGTGAGCTGTGATGCCAGGACACTCTATGGAGGGCAACATAGTGACACTCTTTTAAAAAAAAAGAAAGAAAAGGTTCCAGCAGCTCAGAGAGGCGCCTTTTCATTGAGTGTGACAAAGCTTGCCATACCTATTATGCCATGAATTCATGGGGAAGAGGTTCCATCCCTTTATGCTCCTGCTCAACTGGTTCTTGTGTGTTATGCTGTACGCCTGTTATGCCATGAATTCATGGGAATGGGATCCAAGAGCAACATAAGTTTTTATAATTAGATTAAGAGTTGAAAAGATACAGTTGAATCTTGGCTTCACTCCTTAGCTGAGTAATCTTGGGAAAGATGCTTAGCCTCTCTTAGCATAAGTTCCTGTCTAAATTTGGGATGGATAATACCTCCTTTTGGCAGCCTCTGCTTTTATCCCACTTTCCCCTTATATCTCTTTTTAGCGATTTTTTAATTCCTTGGCCCTCAAAACAACTCCAAAAGCAAAAGTAGATTTCTGAGTGTATTATGGAGAGATGTAGGAGAGGTTTTTGTAATATACAGTAGAATTTACAAATTCCCTATGTTAGACTTCTTTGTCAAAGTGTTTCATTTTCAGATGGCAGCTCTTCTCTCTAATACTCTCTATCCCTTTAAATTCTCTAAGTTCTTTTCTTTGTTTTATCAAGCAATGCAGCTTTGCCCAGCTGGCAAAACTCCAGTGGGCCTTCTCCTCTGGTCTTCTGAAGCATGCACCATGGGGGCGGGGCTGGGGTGGAGAGTGTTGTAGGTGAGAGAGGAAAGGAGCAAGGAGCAACTTGTCAGTTACCTCAGGCTGTATTCAAACTTTTAAGATAGCAAACATGTCCACATCACTATCCTAGAGCGTTTAACTTTAAAACACTGATTAAAATTACACTTCATTGGTTGTAAGTTTCCCAAGCTATTAATCCTATGACTGTGTTTATCTTGAATAGTTAATTTGTTTATTACTTATTATTTTATATGTGTTAAAACATTTATTTACTACTGCATCTGTTACATACTAAGTCCTGGTAAAGAAGAGTAGAGAGTAATATGCCTCACCTAGCATTTTAGGCTGTGCTGGGGAGTAAACATATAAATAAATAAAGTCATGTAATACACGTTACAGTTGTACTCAGGGTATGAGGAACTTGGTCCCAGAGGGTTGAGAATTGAATTTCATGTCTGAAATGGGAGAAGTTGATAACTTAAGGGATGGTGGGTCTTGAAAATTACAAATTATTATCGTTTGTTATTTTAGTATCCATATATTCCTGCACATATTACAAAGCCTAAGGAACATAAGAAGTTGTTTCTGGTTCAGCTTCAAGAGAAAGGTAAGTTATTTTGTTTTTGAAGGCAGTCTTCTAAAAACTTGTAGAGAATAATTTCAGGATGTCTCTTGGTGTTCTTTCTGGGTTCCTTGCAGTTTTGGATTTATATTTTGTAAAACTAAAGATGTATACCATGTTTTTTAACATGGTATAACCTACTTTAACATAACCTACTTTCTCTCAAATGTGCCTGCCATGCTACAAGGAGAAAAATGAATTTAACTAGAGCCAATTTAATAATTGGTTACCTACCAATTATTTTTAATAATTGTTCAGCTACTAGCACTCTATGTCACATTGTGATAAGCTCCTAAAACCTTTGAGACAGATTGGTTAAAAAAAAAACAAAAACGGAAAAATATCATCTTTAGGCCTGTTGAACTTTAACAAGTTTTTATTCTGCTTTTTTATAATAGTCTTATAATTGAATCCAAGATAAATAAAAAGCCATGGCTGGCTCGGCGCCTATAGCTCAACCGGCTAAGGCGCCAGCCATGTACACCTAAGGTGGCGGGTTCGAATCCCCAGCCCGGACCCGCCAAACAACAATGACGGCTGCAACCAAAAAATAGCCGGGCGTTGTGGCGGGCGCCTGTGGTCCCAGCTACTTGGGAGGCGGAGGCAGGAGACTCGCTTGAGCCCAGGAGTTGGAGGTTGCTGTGAGTGTGATGCCATGGCACTCTACCCAGGGGGATAGCTTGAGGCTCCGTCTCAAAAAAAAAAAAAAAGCCATGGCTATTCTCTTCTCCCCTTTCTCCCAGGGCCAGCAGTTAATAAAGTTGGTTGTTAATAGAATGGATTTCTTTAGAGAATCATTTGCTTTTGAGTCTGTGACTGAACTCTAGCTTAAAAGAGTATTAAGGATAATTGTTTTAAAAGTTTATTACACATGTAAAATTGGTGATTAAAAATGAAACAGAAGCAGTGATTATATAAGAAATTATAGAAAATGAATACTGTTTGATTTATTCTAGCCTTGTTTGCAGTCCCTAAAAATTACAAGTTGGTAGCTGCACCATTGTTTGAATTGTATGACAATGCACCGGGATATGGACCCATCATTTCTAGTCTCCCTCAGCTGTTGAGCAGGTATGGAAAGTTTAAACAATTTGTGGTTTATCCATCCAAATTGTCAGATTTGAAATATTCTGAGCTACTTGAGAAGATAATAGTTAACGCATTTGGGTGTTTAAGGAAGGTAAGACAGTAGCTAGACTTTTAGGTCATGTGCAAGCCATAGGTTAAATATGACTGACTAAAAGTGTCCCCAAACTCTAAGCTAGAAAATGACATTCTGGTATTTATGTGAATGCTCTTTCCAAAACCTGATATTCTCCATAGTTAAGGTTGAAGTCTTTATTCAAGAAGAGGTAATAAAAATAGTAGTCAATAGTATCTAAATATGAGGGGAGTTGTCTATATAAAAAAGCAGAGAATTGAATCTCTTGGTGTAATTTATTCTCCTTTCTTCCTTTTTGGAATTTATTATATTTGGCCCAGATTGAGACATAGGGAATTAGGTCCTCAATTTATTTATTTATTTTTTTTGAGATAGAGTCTCACTCTATTGCCCTGGGTAGAAAGTGATGGCATTATCATAGCTCACAGCAACCTCAAACTCTTGGGCTCAAGTGATCCTCTTGCCTCAGCCTCCCAAATAGCTGGAACTACAGGCTCCTGCCATAACACCTGGCTATTTTTAGAGACGAGATCTCACTCTTGATCAGGCTGGTCTCAAACTCATGAGCTCAGGCCAATCCACCTGCCTCGGCCTCCAGGAATGCTAGGATAACAAGAATGACCCACTGTGCCTGACCCCTAAGTCCCCAATTTTTACGTGGAGTTTGAATTTTTAGGCAGATAGAGATGAGAAATCAGGTTTTTAAGAAGTGGATTTAATACTGGTTGAGGTCCTTAGAGCTAAACTTACCTAGGAATTATAGATAGTGTGGTGGCTCAAATGTGGATTATATGGTGAATGTTTGGGTTTGAATCCTATACTCAATACTTGCTGGGAGAGGGTGACCTTGGATAAACTGTTATAACTTTTTGCCTATTTTTTCATCTGTAGATGGAGATAATAGTCTCTACTTCATAGGATTATGAGGACCAAGTAAAATAATGATATATAATGCTTAGTATAATGCCGGGCACCTGGGAAATCCTTAGTGTTAGTTTAAAAATAATTCTAGGCTAGGCACGATGGCTCATGCCTTTAATCTTGGCACTTCCAAGAGTCTAAGGAGGGAGCATCTCTTAAGGCCAGGAGTTCCAGACCAGCCTGGGCAACACTGTGAGACCTCCCCAGCCCCATCTCTTCCAAAAAAATAAAAAATTTAGCCAGGTTTAGTGGTGTGTGCCTGTAGTCCTAGCTAGATAGGACTTGATTATCTGAGGCTGAGGTAGGAGGATTGCTTATGCCACTGCATTCTACCCTGGGTGACACAGCAAGACTCTGTCTCTCAAAAAGCCCCCAAAATCAGTTTCAGTAGTGATTCTCTCCTTTTATGAAACTTGGTGAGTGTGAAATTGGTTTTGCTACTTTGTCACTAAACTTTATCTTTGCTGCTCTACTTTGGCCTTCTGACAGGTTATAAGTTGAAGTATAGTATGTGGGAAAAAAACCGTAATATTGAATGAATAAATAATGAATATTCTTTCACTTATTTAGAGACAGGGTCTGACTTTGTCACCTACGCTGAAGTGCAGTAGTGTCATCATAGCTCACTGCAGCATCAAACTAGTGGGCTCAAGCAATCGTGCCTGAGCCTCGCAAGTAGCTACCATACTTGGTTGTTGATTTTTTGTAGAGACTGGGTCTCACTGTGTTGCTTGAGCTAGTCCTGAACTTCTGGTCTCAAGCAGTCCCACCTCAGCCTCCCAAAATGTTAGGATTCCAAGTACGAGATACCTACCCGCAAGTGGCCCATTTATTTAAATAATCTGTTAGGCTGGGTGGGTGGCTCACGCCTGTAATCCTAGCAGTGGGAGGCTGAGGTGGGTGGATTGCCTGAGTTCACAGGTTTGAGACCACCCTGAGCCAGAGTAAGACCTTGTCTCAAAAAATAGCTAGGCGTTGTGGCAAGTACCTCCCAGCTACTTGGGAGACTGAGGCAAGAGAATCGCTTGAGCCCAAGAGTATGAGGTTGCTGTGAACTGTGATGCCATGGCACTCTACTAAGGATAGGTGCAGGAACTGTGTTGAGAGTTCAGAATGCAAGTTCCTACCTTCAAGGAACTTATTAGATAATCAAATTTACACACTTTTCTTTTATTCTGTAAATACTCAACAGCATTTTTTAAATGCATAACGTGTTTCTCTGGTGAGAGAAAATTGTGTCTTGGTGTATAAAATGCTGAAATGTTACGGGAGGGTAGAAACATCCAGATCAATTTCCTTATCAACTAAAGTAGAAACTATATAAATAATACTGTTTCTAATAGAAGTATTGTTCTTTTTAAAATTCAGGTTCAATTTTATATACAACTGAATTTCTGCGCAATAGAGAAGTAAAAGAAGCCGTCTCCGTGAGCACAGCTATACACAGTTATAGAAGAATAAATGTGGTAGAAAAGTGTTTTGGTTTTATCTCTTTCCTGGTCCCTAAATTGCTACTTACTTTCTATTGTTTGAATAGTAAAGTTAACATGAAGAACTAGATAGTGGTATCAGCAAATGTGATGATGTTTATTTACTTTTGGTTTTACTTATACTTTTTTGTACAACATTAAAGAAAATGGACTTCTTTCTATTTGTATTTTTTTATTTCTCATTAAACTTTAAAAATTCTTACAGGTGAGGATTGTTTTTGTTTTTGTTTTTAAGCTCCCTTAGGCTGGTGAATGCTAAGACACAACATTCTTTGCAGGTTTAGGTCAGCCATGTTTACGAGACCCTCACTCCAGTACCATTCTTGGGCACATACTCCAAGACAGTGTTACAGCTCTTTGTGGTGAGGATCTTCCATTACTTTTGGGAACTACATTTGTCTGATTGAGTCCAAGGTGTAACTCCTGTACCAAATTTTACACTCTTAACAAGTTGTATTACAGAGAATCCCTAGTGTATTAACTGACTGCTACATTTTATATCCAGGGTATATAACTATACTTAGTTCACAAGTAAGAGATCTTAAGCATATGGGAACATTAAAATTGGCTAGGTCAGCAAAGCCATAGGAATTGGTATAAAAAGAGTTGTCTGGAGCTTACTTAGAGTTTTGTCCCTACATAATTGGGGCCATTAATTATTTGTGTTATAGACTCTTAGATTGAAATATTATTTCAATTGACTTGAATTTATATGCATAGAGATGAAATTTAGGATGTGACAAAAATATTTCGGAATAATCTGAATCAGCTGAAATCTAGAAACAGGGTAGGGGCCGAATTTTGTTAGTCTAAGACACAAATAACAGAAAACTTAGTTAAAACACTGCCAAAATCAGGTCAAATTTGGGGGAGTAAGAACTTGTAGGGCAAAGGAGTTTGCTGGCTGTGCCATGGTTCTAATGGTCAGAGTATACTGTGTCTGCCTTATTACGGGCTTGTTACTGTAGGCTTAATATAAATGAATCTGCAAGACGTAATAATGAAAAGAGATTGGTATAGTTAAGTTTTTAATAGAAATGAACTTTTGGTTATTTCTTACATTTTTATGATACTAATCAAGGGCTGTTCTCCTGAATATTAGATGTTGTCAAAGGTATGTCATACTTATGAAAATCAGGCCAAGTGTGGCTGAGCAACTATATTTACAAACATTCAAGTTTGTATGGTTGGGGGTCATATCATGGTTGTGATGTGGTGACTAACATGCCATTGCTTTGCAGTAGGTGCCCCAGTCTCCATAACCAGAATGACAAGTGATTTCTGTTGAAAAAGGCACTAGTTCAATAGCTAGCAGTTCTGCCTTCTTGGTTTACATTATCATATTTCTAATTTAGTATAGTTTTACGGGTAAATTCTGAGTCTTTCAGCTAGTTCCTTAGACTGAGAAACAAGTCCTTCAGATTAGAGGAAGGTAGAGATGGAGATGGGTTGATCCAGCAGCTCATCTTCCCTGATTCCTTCTGGCAGCCGAGTGAAACGCTACAGTGCCCACTTTTCAGATTTTTGCTTTTGTAATTTGGGGAGGATGGAGAGAACGTGGACTTTTTCATGGTGTGTTTTAGAAAGTATTTTCTGTAAGGAATGAGTTGAATCTGATTCAAGGTTACGCATGTCTTTGTAACTTAAGTTTCAACCTAGAAGTTCTTTGTCACTTCTTCCCAATATATAGTTAATGCTTGAGTCAGTCATCTGCTGGGTCCAGGTGAGAAAAACCTTTGATTCAGGTTGGCCATGTTACTAACCTGGGGATGTAAGAGATCTGGCTTTAAATGTAAAATTCATAACACACAAACATAAATTTTTAATTTGCTCTGATCAGTTACAGGGGGATCCCAATATTCTGTTTTAGATTTCATAACTGAAGTAGTAGAACCAGGGGAATCAAATTTGGTATGTTTCTGCAGCATTAGAAGCGGGTGTAAGGGCACTGTTTAACATTAGTTAACGTGTACGTTCTTATCATGCTTTAGGAACTAACAAGTCTTAAATTGCGCATTCCAGTTGTCTACACAGTACTGAATAGTTTGAAATGATCTCTTCATTAATAGACCTATATTTTTTAGTGCCTGTTGTGCTCCAGGCTTATCAATAGATGAAGGCCCTCTTTTACACTGTATAACTACAATATTCGTCTTATTTTTCTTGCATAATCCAAGTAGTACACATTCTATATAAAACTACTACATGGCACTGGAAAATGTTTTAATAGATTGAGGGAGCAAACCTAAAAGGTTATACTTTTAAGTTACATTTAGGATTGACTTATCCCTTTAGAGAAAAGTAAAATGTGTTTTTATTCCCCTAAGTGATGAAGAGCTTGCGATTTTTAAAGAAGTAAATAATACTTAAAATGGCATTGTTTTGAATTTGTACTGAAGTGAGAGGTAGAGGTCTTTAAAATTCAGGATGCCAGCAAGCCATTGGCTTATAATCCCCTTTCTTAAATGATGTGATTCATATGTTCTCAGCTTTTAAGTGACTTCATTTTTTAAAAACTTAGTCACTAGAGATGAAATGCTTGGCGTAGCAATGTTTGTATTATTTCATAGTGTTTGCAGCAGTATGTGCCAATTGCTAAGACTGTTTCAGACTTTGCAGTTTTGTATATTTTATTCCAAAGAAGGCTTAGGGGTTGACTGGCTTCTGTAACATAAGATTTGTTCTACTTGTTTTATATCGCTTACTATTTGGGCTAAACTGGGTTCATTTCAGCCAGTTTGCCTTTGTTTAAATATGTGTTGAGAAACATAGTACTATCATTTGACTTGAGCCATAAAACACACTTAAATATTAGCTTTATTTATTAAGCTTGTTTTTGTGAAAAAACTTAGTAAAACTTAGACAAGGTTAGATTAAGCCAGCTTAGGTGTATTATATTTTAGTGATGGATTGTATTGTAAAAACAGAGATAAGTTGGAAAACTTACATTGATTATGCTATTGTGTTGAAGGAAAGGCCAGAGTATTTAAAACTGAAATATTTGGTCATTGTATTCACTTCAGAGTGTATGAGCATCATTTACTTTGGCTTTGAGAACTTTCCTGGCATTAAGTTTATAGAAAATGTATAAAAGAAACTGGAGTTTTGGTTATATTTTTATATTTGTAAAGTAAAAGTTTGATTCAAATGGTCACTGTTCTTTTTTAATTTTATTTTATTGTCATTTCAATAAAAAGTATTTAAAAGAGAATGACTCTGTGATGGTTTTGTTACAGCCTCATTTATGGCTGCTCATCTCAGCGTTCCTGTACAAAGTCTGCACCATTCTTTTTCAGTGTTAGTGGCCAAGGGCTGCTGGGTAAGAGACAGGTTGGCATAATAGCAAGCAAGGGCCTGATGGCTTGGGCCATCTCAGTGTTGCTGTCCTTTTGTGTTAGCTGTGTTCTCAGCAGACTGAGTTTCCTGCAGTGTGACGGGACACTGGATTTAAAACGTGACTCGGAGTTAGGAGTTGCAACACGGTTGTTTTCACTTTGTGTTGTTCACATCATTAGGGACTCAGTTTCCTCATCTGCAAAGAATGTTGACCTCTTTAGTGTTTTTTCCCTTAGACTTGCCTAGAAGTCATGTTCTGTGGCTTCCACCATGGTTGCCACTTGTAATATTGTGTAATTTAATATCAGCATCTTAAATAGAAACACTTTACCCTCTGGCTCGGCGCCCGTAGCTCAAGCAGCTAAGGCACCAGCCATATACACCAGAGCTGGCAGGTTCGGATCCAGCCCGGGCCTGCCAAACAATGACAACTACAACCAAAAAATAGCTGGGTGTTGTGGCAGGCGCCTGTAGTCCCAGCTACTTGGGAGGCTAAGGTAAGAGAATCGCTTAACCCCAGGAGATGGAGGTTGCTGTAAGCTGTGATGCCACGGCACTCTACCCAAGGCGACAGCTTGAGGCTCTGTCTCAAAAAAACAAAAACCAAACAACAACAAAAACTGCAGCCCTTTGAGCCTTTATATCTGAACAAAAGTTTGAATGAAATCTGACATAGGTACTGCAAG